CCTGTGATTCTGCCGAGAGCTCGCGTTACCAAAAGGAGTTTCTTGTGCATTCCGTCAAGCCACCCTACTCCTACATTGCCCTGATTACTATGGCCATACTCAATGCTCCGAACAGCCGACTCACGTTGTCTGGCATCTGTGACTTCATCTCCTCGCGTTTTCCCTACTACCGTGAACGCTTCCCCTCCTGGCAGAACTCCATTCGACACAACCTCTCCCTCAATGACTGTTTCGTTAAAGTGCCCCGTGAAGCCGGCAGCATGGGGAAGGGAAATTACTGGACGTTGGACCCCAATTCCAAAGGCATGTTCACAAATGGCAGTTTTCTACGACGGCGTAAACGTTATAAGCGCACTCAGACCAGCTCTTGTAAAGCCCCGCATGCAAGTAGGTTTCCAATGCAGACTCCGGTTCCAGAAATAATGCTTCCCGGTTCAAGGGAAACGCAGGAACCGTTGGAGCCATCAAATTCACCCAGTGACGATGTTTTGCCTTTGGATTTGGTTATGACCTCTTCTCCCAATAACTTGCCCCAGCATCGGTTGCATGAGAACGAGCATCTGGAACTCCATGTTTCCCGCCAACCTTCGGTATCTCGTCCATCGGCCTTTTCAATTGAGTGCATAATCGGTAAATGGGATGAGCCGTCGGGTAGTTAATTTATGCGTAAAGATGAAACCCGATTTGTTTTTTTTCTTTTAACGAACACTCCAGACAAGGACTTGAATTGACCCTATGTATACACATATGTATGTTTAATATATGAGAACCGCCGAGATTATAAAGTCCTCTTTTCTTTATCCAAGGGATAGGCGAAAGTTTAAACGGCATTAACACATGATTTACGAACGTATTTTTTACCTGTTCAAGACCTTTCTCTTGTAATCTGGATGGGTAAAGCTGCTCCATATTATTTTGAATGTTAACCAAATGTCCTTGATTAATATTAGTCTTCGCCTGTACTCCATGTAAGTGTTCTCGTACGCGTTGGTTGATTAAAGCCGAGTAGTGTACAGGTATTAAGACTAGGTCGTTCTGGGCACTGATTAAATTAATGGAAATCGTCATAACTTGACATTTTTTTTATTTCTTAAGACGTATACAAATTCAAAGCGGTTAGTCTGAGTTGTGTTTTCGTAAACACACACGTTCAGTTGACCTTTTCAGCTGGGGGTGATGGCGGTGGTGGTGGTAAAGACTATTCACAAATATCTCTCTCGGAGGTCTGATCTTAATGGAAAAACCAACCTTTCATTATTTTGGAAATCTAGCCTAAATATTTGGGTTTAATGAGAACAAACTAGTATAGCAGAGGGCAGTCAACCAGCAGTTGTTTCAATTTAAGGGAAGTAAGGGAGGTGGGACCTTCACCAACAGCATGTCCAGCCAGATGAGCCAATACGAATCACACCTGATCTGTACATATTTGTTGCAATTAGACTCGAATGGTGAGCACCATTAGTAGAACTGTGGCATCGGGAGCGGAATTTAAAAAAAAACAGAGAGACTCCCCTGGAAGATCAAAGTATGCAACGTCGTGAATGCTGGGTCAGCTGGTAGACAGACAACTAAACGTCGTGGGTCATGCGTTGCTGGGACGTACCGATAAACTGCCGTAATACGCACCGGGGTCGACACATCAGTCAAAGTCATCCGCCCACAACGGACAGGTCTGTGAGTCCTTTGCCACTCTTTTTATGACACAAAACCGAAACGGTGGTCTCTGTCAAGCTTGTACGCTAGAAGAGGGGTTGGAAGCCTCGTGCTGACAGACAGTTAACCAAGGCTCACTGAGACGAGCGCCAAGGAATCGACTGGTATTATAGGAAGTGCCTAGCGTTGTCTCTTCAACTAAAGACCACTAAAGTGTTTCTTTGTTTAAAGTGACGGCCACTTACGCAGGACTGCCCATCATTATCTTGCAAATGCCATAATCGCACCTAGACGCCCGCCGACCAACCTTGAATAT